GACATGGGGACAATGGGGGGCAATGGGGACATGGGGGGACATTGGGGACATGGGGGACTTGGGGAACAATGGGGAGAATGGGGACTTGGGGGGGACAATGGAGACATGGGGGCCAATGGGGACATGGGGACGATGGGGGACACAGGGGACATGGGGGACATTGGGGACACGGGGGACACGGGGACAGGAACAGGGGGCTCCAGCCATTGTGGGGGGCTCAGGGGGCTCTGCCTCCCCATTCCCGCAGGGATCGCCCTGGAGCAGGACAGGGGGATCCAGGTGGCGGGTGGGATAGGGGGCTCCAGGAGGATCCAGGGGCTCCAGGATGATCCCAGAGGCTCCAGGAGGATCCCAGGATGATCCCGGATGATCCTGGAGGCTCTTGGGGGCTCCAATCCCTCCCGTTCCGCAGGGATCTTCCCGGGGCAGGACACGGTGATCCAGGTGGCGGGTGGGATAGGGGGCTCCAGGAGGATCCAGGAGCTCCAGGAGGATCCCAGAGGCTCCAGGATGATCCCGGAGGCTCCCGGATGATCCCGGGTGGTCCCGGGGGCTCCAACCCCCCCCGTTCCGCAGGGATCTTCCCGGAGCCGGAGCAGGACGCGGTGATCCAGGTGGCGGGGCTGGTGCAGCGGCAGGGCGAGCGCGAGCCCTTCGTGCGGGTCATCTTCACGCTGGGCACCTGCGCCCCCATCCCCGGCTCCCAGGTGCTCTGCTGTGACACCGAGAAGGAGCTGCTCGAGGTGAGGGGGACCCCAAAAACCTGGGGGGGCCCCCAACATCCTGGGGGGTCCCTAAAATCCTGGGGGTCCCGGGAATCAGGGGGCTATGGGGGTCCCGGGATGCCTGCGCCCCCATCCCCGGCTCCCAAGGGCTCTGCTGTGACACCGAGAAGGAGCTGCTCGAGGTGAGGGGGACCCCAAAAACCTGGGGGGGTCCCCAACATCCTGGGGGGTCCCTAAAATCCTGGGGCCTTTGGGCAATGGGGTGCAATGGGGGCTCTGGGGGTCCTGGGGTGCCTGCGCCCCCATCCCCGGCTCCCAAGTGCTCTGCTATGGGACGGAGAAGGAGCTGCTCGAGGTGAGGGGGGACCCCGAGACCCTGGGGGGGTCCCCAACATCCTGGGGGGTCCCCAAGGTCCTGGGGGGCTCCGGGGGGGTCTTGGGAGACAGGGGTCCCGGGGACTCCCAGGTGCTCTGCAATGGGAGCAGGAGGAGCTGCTGCAGGTGAGAAATGGGGGGTCCAGGGGGTCCCAGGGGCCTCAGGGGGCTCCCAGGGGGTCCCAGGGGATCCCAGGGGGTCCCAGGGGCCTCAGGGGGCTCCCAGGGACTCCCAGGGGGTCCCAGGGGCTCCCAGGGGGTCCCAGGGGCCTCAGGGGGCTCCCAGGGGGTCCCGGGGGGTCCCAGGGGGTCCCAGGGGCTTCTAGGGGCTCCCAGGGGTTCCTTGAGGGTCCCACGGGGTCCCGGGGGGCTCTGGGGTCTCCCAGGGGGTCCTCGGGGCTCCCAGGGCTCCCAGGGGGTCCCGGGGGTCCCGGGGGGTCCCGGGGGTCCCAGCGCAGCCCCCCCCACCGCAGGCGTTCGCCGAGTTCGTCCGCGTCGTCGACCCCGACATCGTCACCGGCTACAACATCCAGAACTTCGACCTGCCCTACCTGCTGCGGCGCGCCCAGGTGCTCCAGGTGAGGCCCATGGGTGCCCCAGAGCACCCATGGGTGCCCCAGAGCACCCACAGCACCCACAGTGACCCACAGCACCCATAGCAACCCACAGCATCCACTGACACCCATAGCACCCACACCCGCCCCTGTGCTGCCCTACCTGCTGCGGCGCGCCCAGGTGCTCCAGGTGAGCCCCATAGCGCCCCGCAGCACCCATGGGTGCCCCAGAGCACCCACAGCACCCATAGCACCCATAGTGACCCACGGCATCCACTGAGACCTATAGCACCCATAGCACCCACACCCGCTGCTGTGCTGCCCTACCTGCTGCGGCGCGCCCAGGTGCTCCAGGTGAGACCCTCAGCACCCATGGGTGCCCCATAGCGTCCTATAGCAGCTATAGCACCCATAGCAACCCACAGCATCCACTGACACCCATAGCACCCACACCCGCCCCTGTGCTGCCCTACCTGCTGCAGCGCGCCCAGGTGCTCCAGGTGAGACCCACAGCACCCATGGGTGCCCCAGAGCAGCCACAGCACCCACGGGTCCCCCCATGTCCCCTGTATCCCCCCATTGTCCCCAATGTCCCTGTTGTCCCCAATGCCGCCCATTGTCCCCCACCATTGTCCCCTCATGT